GCAACTTCATTCCATCGATGCGTCGCACAGCAATGGGACGGCAAAACAACAACTCGCCCCAAGATAAAACCCACACCATGTCCTTTAAATGAAAAAATTTGCAAGCACAACTGCCTTTAAGTGATACTTGTGGTTCACATGGCGACCAGCGCAGTACATGACGCGAGTTCCTAGCGGTACGCGTTGATCGTTCAACAAAATGCATGTGTTTCTATCAAAGTTTGTTTGAAGACCACTCATCCTTGTATTCGTTTGACGCCGAGAAAGCAGACAAACCCAGTAGATATTCCCGGGCTTCACACGGTGCCGGCTCACCTCACCCCGGCCGGATTTAAAGCGTTGCACTGAAACACGATGCGCTACTGCGGGAAAAACGCGGCAATGTGCAAAACGTTCAGCAGTAGCCTTCGATATGAGACGAACGTGCTTGCAGTTCGTGTTGTCAACGCAATGAAGTTTTACCTGATCGCTGAAGGGAACGCCTGTGCCGTATCCCTCCGCACCTGTTCCCCACCGAGAACGGTAAGACGCCTTCCTGCGAATGATGAGATTGTAACGGAACCACGACTTGTTCACCGGATTGCCCGCCGGGAGTTTTGCCGCAGCATCTGTCGTCGTCGCTGCCAGCCGAAGACCCCACCTACGAAACATCACACCCTCGGCTGAAACCTACAAACAAAACCGAGAGATAAAAAAAAAAAAAAAAAAGAACTACACGCGTTTAAAAAAAAAAAAAAAAAGAAAGAAAGAAAAGAAAAAAAGCATATGTAGAGTGAAATCTGGTAACGGCAGCAAAAAAAAGAAAAAAAAAAAACACAACATTTTAAGAGATGACTTCTTAAATAAAGCAAGCAACAACAAAAATAGATACAAATAAATCGCCTTTGCATCAGGATTGCCGACTGTCGACATCACTCTGCCCCTTAAATATAAGGTTCCCAGGCTCCTCCGATACGCCGCGACGGCTTTTCTCAAACTCCCTTCGCAATTCCGCCCGCAGTGCCATCAACTTTGCTACCGAGTCAGTCACATCACCACCGACCTCCTTTCTTAGTTTTTCCTTCGCCTTCTGAAATTCTACCACCGCCCGGTGCTCCCACGACACCTCAAGAGGTACCTCCTCCTCGCTCTGCGACGCAGGAACAGTGTTACCAAACACGTATTCCTTGTGGCGCATGTAGGGGTAAGGATCGATTCCCTTCTGAAGACAAAGCCGCACACGCTCCTCCTCTTGTTGCCAGCGTACATCGTTCATAAGATACGGCTTCAAAAACGGATAAAACAACAACGGAAAGATGGAAATAATAGACGACGCAAAAATAATAACAACCCATGGAGACTCCTGTCCAATGCGCTGACCAATTTGGGCAAACGGTGAGCTTAAGGCCGACAGCACTACGTTACACCTGTCACAAAAACGACGCATAAAATCCACAGTGTATGTGGTGCATCGCAGCTTAAAGCGTGTGAAGGCAATAGACATGAGTTTTGAGTCACCTTACCCCTCCCCTCCC